AGCCATCGTTTTAGAAAACTCTGGCAAAAATCGATGGATCTATTGTTTAAACATATTCTACTTCTGGTCCAAAAGTTTCTTCAGGCCATGTTTAGATGTCACTGTGTCAATCAAAGTTTATTGCAGACGTAGAATCAGAGAGATCACTTTCAGTCAGCAGACTAAATCAGTCCACAATCCGGAATTAACCGAGTGTTCCTTAAATCTTTCTTAAATGAAAACATTTCGGTTTTACGCTTTGCATCTCATGGAAAAATGTTCAACTCGGACTTGGTTTGTCACCAAAGTCGAGATACCGACTGACAAACCACCGTGCCCTTCATTTGGCCGGTCTTGCTGACCACATCATTTGATACACTAATTCATGTTCAAGTGTGTGTTACTTGGTTCTCTATCAATATCAGTACTGTCGCAGCGTTATGTAATGACCAGTGAATCGCCGAAGGAAAGTCACATTAGGCCCATTTTTGGGTGGAATCCTGAGAATGAACAGTGACACAATTGTGGTTAGGTAATCAAAGCTCTTATCGTGAAGATACAAATATCCATGGGTACTACTGAGTCATTGTGGTAAAAATTAGAAGGTTATTTTATCCCCAGTCAATTCACGTCTGCATAGACCAAAACGATGCAAGGGGTGCTATGCAACCTAATTTGGAACCACATGAACTTGCCGAATGATTCTCGTCCTCTTTCTTTTACGTCAGTGTACATGACGAAGAATACTGTGACGTTGATATTTACGGAAAACTGACAAAGAAGGCCGTTTGGATACGATGGTTGGAGTAGGCCGAAACAGAAATCTTTTGCCTGATAATCGAGTTGAGCGGTGCTCAGGCTGTAGCATATCCTTGGACTCTGGATAAGTTTCATTCAGACTAGAAGATTTAAATATTAAAATTTTCCGGTTGAGATGGTTTGTTTTTTCAACTTACCAAGCGGTCAAACGAGAGATGGGTTGTGAATGCGTAGCAGCGATGTTCACACCTGTATCCTGCAACTAAGGATCGTACAGGTTGAGAACTACACTCAAAGCCTAATCAATAGCCCATGGAATTTCCATGTGCTCAGCGTTACTCTGATGATGGAAGCTCTGTCTGATACGGTCAAAATATTGACAAAAATTAAAGGTTTTGAACCACAGTTATGTGGTGCTCATATCCTAAACAAGATATGTTAACAGGGTGATTAATTAAGCGGTTCNTAACATCATCGTACATCATACCTTGCGGCACATACCCAACAATTTCAACAAATCGGTTGGTTAGATTATGGATTTAACTTGTCTTCAAAGTTACGTTGGAATTGACTTTATTAAAGAGTGAGGCAAATGAAGTCCTGGTCTTCTTTTGTCAGGTCAGCATTCAATTCATTCACAGTATCTCGTCATCCAAGCTGATTTCACCACGGATCATCAAGGACAGCTGTAGTACGTGAAATCTTTTCTCACAGTTCATCTAAAATAAAGTATATGAATGAAATGCACTATTTTTAGTCACACTTGTGGGTCTAAAATTTAGGTAAGGTTTCACACGGTATGTTGGTTACATCTTAAAAGTTATGTACCCAGAGATTGGTTCTGTATTTGACATGGCAAGTATATCATTATAGTACAATATAAGTTGCGATGTTTTCATTCAAAGTTTATGTCAACAGTGGTGAGTGAGTACAGCGTATTATCTCGAAAAAAAAACATATGAAGTTTTGGAGGGACAGCTGTCACGATCACACCTCATTTACTCCCATATCTACTAACGAACTACTAACTTGTTAAATTTATCTGGCAAAGCTGATTATGTTTGAAATATTCTGGGGGCTAGTGTTGCGTACGTGCATCACGTCTTCCTGAGGAGATAGAATACTTCGCCTCCTCTTGATGTTCAGACGGTCTAGCGAACAGCTAACCCTAGAACACTCACCACTCAATAGGCGAATCCAAGTTGCTTAGTGGTTACAGGACGAATTTGCTGACCGAAAGGTCCGCTGTTCGAACACGGCTTCTGCTTCCCGACTTCCCCTGTCTAGGCTTGGGTAACCTGGCAATATCGCAGCCCTAGTGCTTCCTTCTGGTGGCATGACAGCTAGGCAGCTAAAGAGTGCTATAGCTAAACGGAATCAAGACAGGTGGCCAAAATATACTTGGAACAGCACGTACGGTAGTCTTTTTTCTACTGGTGCTTACACATCTCTAAGCTGACTATATTTCATTGAAAGAGTGATTCTTCGCATTCGAGTATATCATGACTAGTAACCGAAATCAGAGAGCCTGAAGGCACTTTCCAGTGAAGATGTATTTCAGGAGGTTGGTAGGATAAGCCGAACATCAAACGAGTGTTAGTTCACTTTCCGTCGAAGATAATTGACGCTGTACACTATTGAGCTTAAGTAGATGGAAGGTTACGCAACAAACCAATACCTGATCCCAAATCATAGCTGTTTACGAGGGCGGATTCCTCAAACATTAATTTCATTAAAAGTTTGAATGCAGTAATTCTCTGGCATTCTATCCTTTTTCCCAAGGGCGACATCCAAACGAATGCTGTTCGTTTTTTGACTAGTTTTTTAATAGCCTTCTTCACAACTTGGCGCTCTCTATCTTAGACATACGATCATCGTTGTTAAGTGACATCGGAATATTCCGAAAGGCTTACGGCCGCATCCATTTTATCGACGTTTTAGGTCCCTGACCGACTAAAAGAGGAGAATATTACACTGTAAATGCGTTTCTCAAAGGCAGGTTCCTTTTTCAGTTTGATGTACTGAACGAATTATGGAGTTAAGGTCGGTACAATTGGCTAAGCGTTTAGAAATGAATGTGAAGGCTAGATAAGAAAAATCGTTTTGGAATTGTTTTACAACACGAACAGCATTGTTTTATATGAATCTTGAGTTTCCTCTGGTTTTTGGGCATATTTTATGACAGTTAACCACCAATGTACGGCATTGATGTATTGCTGTGAATGATGATGATGATAATGATTAGCAATCGGTTTCTGTATTTCCAGTTTCGTGTGATGTAATTTCTGTTTTAGTTAAAGGCACCATCGTAAGTTAGTGAAGATTACTTTACCTCCATTCGAGAGGCAATTTTGCTCGGACTGGAAGTTCACCGTGAAGCTTATGCAAGATTGATGTTCAACGTTTTTTTAAACCAAAAGGCTGTTCACAGTGACCTATCAACTGAACGCAATCAAAAAGCCCGAATGACCGGGCTCCCTACTTTTGATTTGAGGCAACATTCTAGCCTTTCGTACTTCTCTACCAGCTTCTTAACAGTCAGTAGTTCATGCCTAAAAGGAATCGATTAATGGTGCAAAAACGACTGAGCATTGTGATCTGTCAACATGATTGAACTTATGTGCTTAGTTGGTGTAAATAGAATTTGAATAAAAACGGCTTGGTGATCAGGTTAGGTAACAGTGTTCTTCTTTNTCCCCTGTCTAGGCTTGGGCAACCTAGCAGTATCCAAGCTCTCGTGCAACTTTCGGATGGCATGGCAGTTAGGCACCAGAAGGGTGCTACAGCTGAACGGAATAAAGACAGGTGGTCAAAATGTGCTCAGAACAGCACGTACGACAGTCTTCTTTCTACTAGTGCTTACACATCTCTAAGCTGACTATATTTCATTGAAAGAGTGATTCCTCCCATTCGAGTATATCATAATTAGTAACCAGAATCAGACAGCCTGGAAGCACTTTCTAAGACAAGCCAAACATCAAACGAGTGTTAGTTTACTTTCCGTCGAAGATAATTGACGCTGCACACTAGTGAGCTTAAGTAGATGGAAGTTTACGCAACAAACTAATACCTGATCCGAAATCATAGCTGTTTACAAGGGCAGATTCCTTAAACAGTACCTTCATTAAAAGCCTAAATGCAGTAAGTACCTGTCACCCTATCCTTTTTTCAAAGAACAACATCCAAACGAATGCTTTTGCTGTTCGTTTTTTTGACTGGTTGTCCATTAGCTTTCTTCACAACCTGGCGCTCTTTTTATCTTAGAAATACCGTCGTCGTTGTTAAAAGACAACCGAATATTTGGAAAAATTTACGGCTACATCCACTTTGACGATTTTTTAGGTCCCTGATTGACCAAAAGGGGAGAATATTACACTGTAAATGCGTTTTTCAAAGACGGGTTCCTTTTTCAGTTTGATTTACTGAACGAACTGTAGAGTTAAGGTTGGTATAATTGACTAAGCGTTTAGAGATGAACGTGAACGCCAGATAAGGAAAATCGTCTTGGAGTTGTTTTACAAAACGAACATCATTGCTCCATATGAATCTTGGGTTTCCTCTAGTTTTGGGGCACATTTCATGACAGTTAAGCATCAATGTACGGTACTGCCTTGGATGATGATGATAATGATTAGCAATCGGTTTCTGTATTTCCAGTTTCCTGTAATGTAGTTTCTATTTCAGTTAAAGTTACAATCGTAAGTAAATGAAGAGTACTTTACCTCCAATCGAGGGGCAATTTTACTCGGACTGGACGTTCACGTGAAGCTTATGCAAGATCGATGCTTAGCGTTTTTTAAGCCAAAAGTCTGTTCACACTGACTTATCAACTGAACGAATTGAAAAAGCCCGAATGACAGGGCTCCTTACTTTCGATTTGAGGCAACATGCTAGCTTTTCATAATTATCTATCAGCTTCATAACAGGCTGTAGTTCATGCCTAAAAGGAATCGACTACTGGTGCGAAAACGACTGAGCACTGTGATCTGTCAGCATGACTGAACTCATGTGTTTAGATGGCGTAAATAGAATTTGGATAGAAACGGCTTGGGGATCAGGTTAGGTAACAGTGTTCTTCTTTGAATTGCAGATCCACGTTTCAAGTGAGCCGAGTATCATTTATACGTTCACTCCTGCTACAAAGACTAGTGCTTGGAACGAATTCACAGGTCACATCGACTTCTTCGAGCTCTACTTCCAAATTGCAAAGTCACAGCGATGATGTCAGTTCAGGAAAGCCATATTCAACAGTTCATTTACCAATGACTGAGAGCGAACGAAAGGCATCTGCGTCGTTCACTGAAAATGTACTTGGCCAGGATGGTGTTTTCGTTCTTCGCCTCATTTCCATCAATGCCGGGAGACAAGTTGCATCACAAATCCTCGAACGCCTTTGGAGCCGATTTAACCAGGCAGCAGACAATCACCCTGTTACCCGAAGTGCAGTTAGCAAAGAAAGGCGACCACAGTTGAGCAAGCTCTATATACCGCCGATAGCGGCACGCTTAGGGAGACCTGTTGGTTTATTGGGCAAAACGAATGAAAGCACGAAGCCTCCGGTGGAGGAACATAACATCACTTCACCCGTATCTTCCACACCCGACAGAGCACGACAGAGAACTGAAACTTTGGACTGGCTCCGAAAAGTTCGGAAGAGACCATCTACTCGCAGCTCCCACTCCCCACATGAATCGTCCGATTCGGAGATAAGAATCTTAACCCACGAAATAAACGTGGTTTAGTTTTGTTTTTGACTACCATTAAAATGAAGCTATTTTAGACACTCCAAATTTCCCAAATCCTGTTTTTTAACCTTGTTCTTGCATAGACGATAAACCATCCACTTTCCTTTATTGTTGTCCCGTGTGGTTCGCCTTGTCACTTTTATGGTTCCAGTTCGTCGATGTCAACTATACTTAGTCGAATTTAATTTTCTCAAGTATGTTGGTCATACTGCTGGAATTTTCCGGCCCATTTGACTCCTAAATTCCTATCTGGGAATCAAAGAATGAAGCCCACCAGGACATGCAAATAACGATAGTGGCGTGAGAGATTGTAGCGACCCAGTCACCCACATACTTGACTGTTCAACTCAGTCGCTCACTGGATCGCGAGGCTTGTCTTTTTTCTCATACGCACAAACACGTTGCGTTAAGCTGACTCATTGGACATCGATTGTCTGCACCGCCTAGTCAGCGTAGCAGCCACTCATGTGCCGACGCGCCCACGTATACGCACTGGGACCTACATAAAGGGAAACCGAACCCAGTCAACACACAGACTTGCGCGCGCGCAGGGAGTAAGGTGTCGGCCAAACACCCCAAAGTCCAGGGACAATCATGGAATACGTGTAGCAGCCAAACTGCGGAGGAAACACGTTTCTGCCGTCCGGACTTTCACCAAGGGACTCTCACATATGATAAGTCCCCTTTTTGACTCGCTCCCATTTCTCACTGTATTTATTTTTATACGTGTCGCAGAAATACTAAAAACTTCTATTGGGGCACACATACCTTCTGATCTGTATTATGGCCATCATCACCTGTGCACTGATAAGATGCAGTGCAGATTGAACATCACATATACTTGGTTTATCGACAATCAAAGCAAACACTGTCTCACTTCCTAATGAGTTTTGTTTTCTCACTCTCTGAGCTTTGAACATCTCATGGCTGAACCACGGTATATAGAAATTTAAGTGAATGGAAGCTCAAAAATAAACATTTACGACATTCCCATCTCCGAACCCTCCGAATAATTTTCACTAGAGGTAACCGATGATGTCCTGCAAGTGATTATTGCTATCTAAGCCTGAGATCGGGATGGAAAGTCAGTGGGCATGGAGCGAAGTTGCTCTTTGTGGGTGAATTTGAGGTTGTTGTCGGCGTGCTCATATTTACCATGGTTTCAACTACATTTAAAATGATATCGATGGAACAGCTTTCTACATACCAGCGACCATAAACTATAGGGTTGTTTGCGGCCATAAGAAATTCTGATATACCAGAGTGAATCATTTGCCTTTTTGAGACATTTATGAAAAATCATATCCGCTGTAGATTCTTTGCAAGCATTTTCATTAATGTAAGGGCGCCCCTGTATGGACACGACCAACTAATACACTCTTGCCGCGAAATTCGAATTCGAAACTTGTTGGTTAAAGAAGATCGCCAAGTTTCCACCGAAGCTTGCCAGTCAGTTGTGCTTCTGTTTACATTACGTCTGAGAAGAATGGCGCCACTGATGGCCAAATTCAAGACATCTTTTAGTTACATCGGTTTAGAGGGTCTCCTAGTGATGATTCTCGCTGTTATGTGTAGGAAGACCTCGGAGTTGTTCGTAAATAGTTTTCAAGGATGTAGAAAAATATCTCCCTGCTTATACTGACCGCAGTGTAAGAAGTTATGAAGAAGCAATTCCTAGGAATTTCGTACTGTCTCTCAATAGATTTCTGTGAAGCCGTATCTAGAACCTCTTTTCATGCAGCATATTCCCACCGTTTCCATCAAAAGAACACTGCAGTGATGGCACCAGAGTTGTGTAGTGGTGCGCATGTGTAAGTTCACCTGAAAATGTCACCGTCGGGCTTCGTCATTGAATTATGTATATTTATCAACCCAACAGTCAGCGCTGATTGCTTGTTAAGCAAAACAATAATTTCGCTCATCCACTGTGAACCCTGTTAACTCAAAAATAAGATTTTGGGCCACGTTACATAGATAGCCACAAGTTTTATGTCTCTGCCGTATTCAGTCTTCTTTCAGGACTAAGGGTATCGAAGGGAAGCTTTTATTACTTGTTCAGCCTCTATAAACCATACAGGCTTAATAAACGGGGAATGAATGAGAAACTTATATAAACACGCGTGTCAAATGGCAGTCTGAAAGCCACTGCAGTGCAGGTAAGAAGAAAAATAAAAAAGTGGCAATTTGAATACGTCTTTACCACTGAAAGGAGAGGAGATACACATTGTCTGCGTTTCTACTGTTTTGAGGGAAAAAGGAAAATCACGAAAAACTAATCAATGGGTGAATAGTATCGGACGAAACGAAGAGTTGGTCAATTTGCAATGGTCGAGGAGAATGCAAAGTCGGAGAAAAAATTTCCCGCGTTGACTTCGCCTTCGTTTAAAAACTACTTAGTTACTAGAAGATGAGAACCACATATTCCCATATACTAGACAAACTACCTTCGTTCAAACATGGAGAGGCTTTGCCGGTTCCGGGCTATTTAAAAATAGTAGAGATTTTAGTGCCCATAATGTTGCGACTGCGTTGGATTAAATCATGTTAGCCTAGAATTGGCGAAATACAATCATTCGCAAACCGATTTGGTTTTGCTGGAGACTCACCCGGAACAAAGCTGAATCTCTCTTTTATGCTTTTTTCAAGGCGGATTGGTACAACACATTTAGTTGTTAAGAACATAAACGAGAGAATCAGCTGGGCTCCAGGTGAGTCTTCCCCAAAACCAAAATGGGTCTGCAACTGAGTGTAGTTCGCTAAGTTCGTGTGATTTGGGTTCAGGTAGAACATCGGGTTGACGGTAACTCGGGGATTGTGCCTATCTGATGAGCCTTAAGAAGGGCGAAACCGGCCACGAGCTGTCGGAGAGTTTTCAGCAATCTTCTGAGTAGTGTATCAGCCGAACATTATTTTGCGAAACATTACTAACTTTGTTGAAAAGGGAGTTAAAGTTATTCCAAAGTTACTCCAAATTGAATAATCATTTCAGTGAATTGTCTTTTGGCAACTTTTCCAAATATCAGAGCTAATTTGATAATAGAGCGATTTTTGGTAGTGTGAGGAGATTTGGCACTCTTGTGGAGATTTCGTCCTGTTAGTGAAGCCGATCCATGCTAAAAGGCCGAGAAGCACTGTACAGCTGTTTCATCCTTATTGGGAATCATCAGTAGTGCGCATCTCACGAAACTCCAGAGAGTCTTGAACCTGCGACCTCCTGGCTGGTAGTTTGAACACAACCGCTCGGCTGATCAGTTGAGTTTTTTGTAAGCCTGCTTCCAGTCAATTTTAGTGTTTTGGTATGTAAAGTATAAGAATGTTTGGTATTGGGGTACTTATTGTCATTTTATGGAAGCAACTACACAGGGTATTAAATTTTTGCGAGAAAGTAAACCAACGCGTACTTAACGTGACTGAAATTCAATGTATGTGTCGTACGCAATTCCCAGTGAGTTGTTGACCAAAATCTGCAGCGGTATCGGAAAAATAATTTTTGTACTCCAGGATAATCCAGCATCCTTCGCCCTGATATCCACTTCTAACAAGATGAACGTCCAGAAACCTAAAAACAGTTGCCATCGTGCAAACGTTCTGATAAGCTTAGCAATGTGAATAGTACCATTGTAGCCTTCCCGATCGATACCAGCCACCCGATTAATCCAATCCGATGGCACTTTAGGGTCAGTGACACCGGATGACTCCAAAAGCCGAGTCGTACTGACTGAAGAAAAAAATGAGGGAGTATGGGTACAACCGTCTAGTTCACATGATTGACTTGGTAAAGACATAAACGAGAAAAAAGAGTGAACAGAAAAAGAACAGCCTTTCAAGACAATGGTGACGACTAAACACGTTTGGGGTGTCCAATCTGACTACGAGACAAAATTAAGACTGCTGGTTTAAGCCAACTAACATGATGCAAGCTACAAGCGGATATTATGATCCTCCAGAGTTCAGCCACGGAGGATGGGCTTGTGAGCGCATGGCGCACTGCAGAACTGCTTAACAGAAACAGTAATTTATTTGGTTGACGTAGAAAGACCCATCGATAACAGGTCCTCGATCCATGCACCTGATGAGACACGTAAGAGCCATGGTCAGCATTTTGACGAATAAATGCGTTGCTTCAGTAGGTACTCATCACTCCCGCTCAATCAAAGCTCCCAGATATGGCACAAGCTAGAAAGTGAGAAGTCTTATGCCTGGATTGATTATCGCCTGTACTGGCGGGACCATTGGGTATGTACATGCTTCATCTGGATAACCGAGTTGCTTTGTGCCACGAGGTACCAAGATCAATAGATTGAAGGCTCTTTTAAGAATCCGGAACTTCCAACTTACCAATGCTTACACCTGCGATATTCCTATTTTTCCTTCTCGCTAATCATGTTCTTGAACTGACAACTGTATAAGATTTGCATGTGACATAGAGATAGAATGCTAACGTGAATCCTGAAGGGGGATTTTGGAGACTTCCTAAAAAAGAGATTTTTTTCCAGCGCAGGGCGCAGGTCACAAAAAGCCTTTTGTTCAAACTGTGGACAACTGACACAAATGTTTTGTTTATTCCCCTCAGGAAGAGGCACTTCAATCTTATCCCGTTATCAGCAGGTTGCAACATCCACTAATGCCGGGCCGTTATCGACATAAAAATGACCATCCATGATGGCAACCATAACTGGAGGGAACTGGTATTCATTGGATGACACACGCCGGTTCTGAAATGAACAGACACGGAAATGGGTACCATTGAAGCCTCACGGCACACAAAGCACACATTCGCAACGGTTCGGTGTCGCAGTAGACAAGGCCGGAGCGTGGCGAAAACGCGCGTGTATTGGAACCGATATGACAGGCACAAGTCAATTACGGTACAAAAATACCTCAAGGTCACGCAGAGTGATGGACAGGCGGACTACTGCTTCCCATCTGTTGCTTGGTGTGTCTCATCAGGGGCTTACTTAATGGGGACAGAGATAAATATATTATGTCGAGCGACAAACACGTGTTAACAGGTACATCTAGCTTCAACCACGCTACAGGGCCTACTTATTGATTTGGAGTCTTGTGAGATGAACTAGATCAAGTAATTTGGACGCAATGCCAAAACGCAGACAAACCTAATTAACACTTTTTGTCGCCTTTTCGGAATGGGAACAGGGTGTTGTAGAAGGAACTAGACGGACAGATTTTGATGTCTAGGATTTAGTTTTCTACCGTCACCCTTACCGCTCCAATATTTGATGCGTAACAAATGTTTAAAAAACCTTTGTTTTGTTATTCATTTATGCCATTTGATAGCCTCAATGCGCATTGGTTTTACGTCCTAATGCGAGGTCAATTTTCAGGATTTCGTTGGGTAGATTGATGTAAGTCTTCACAAGACCCGCAGATATTTTATCTTCTGTCATATCATTGGTTGCTCTTCGTTGTTTATTTCCTCGAATTTGGATTGATGTATGCCCCATATTCGTCCTTGAAGCAGAAAATATTTATCCACACGAACCTCATGACCTACAAATATTTCCACCAGCGGCGATTCCTGGGCATAATTTTCACAGCAACTTCCCGGCTTTCTTTGGTAGCATTACGAGACTCTAACAAATCACGAAAGACTAATACCTACAAATTATCAGCAACTAGCTGGTGTGAATTATGCAAAGAAGCAGGTACGGCAGTCGTCCTGATCGGCAGCGATTTCCCCAAACAGTTCTTGCTAGTTGGACCAAATCGGTTGGCGGATCTGGAAAAACACATTGCCATAAGCTTTGGGTGACCTCTTTTGCTGGACGGGCTTAAAATCATTTCTGGGTAGTTTTTGCTCCAGCCCTGTGACTTACTCTCAAACAGACGTCAATAGGCGTGTATGGTTGCACAGCTCTTTAGGCTTCTTACTCCTTCTATTGACAGGCTTGACAAACAGATCAGAAGCCATCCAATCAACTACTGATAACGAGGTTTATCACAACGAGCAGTATATCGCACTACAATGCTCCGCAGCTGTCCACAATTAGCTCTAGTTGAGCACGTTAAGATGTGTATGTGCCTGGTACCCTCTACCATAAATGAACTCACTAAGCTTGCGAGAGTTATGTGATCGTGCTTCAAAATCTCGACAATTTCCTGCCAGTTCCTAAAACTTACTGTGTCTTTCTTTGAAAGCTATTCCTGAACATTTTAGGTAGCTCAAAACTATATCCAACGTAAAAGCATGGGAATTAGCTATTGCCATAACTTGTGATCTAGATACGACAGTGTGGTAATTGCCAGATAATCGGCTGATGTATCAAGTTTTAAAGAAACTGGCCTGAAGTGAAAGCAAGATGTAAAGAAAAAAGCTTGCCTCCTATTCATATTTCGGGTATATACAAAAACACACATGATGCAATTGAAGCCAGAGTTCCCGGACAGGACTTGAACCCGCGTACCATTGCTTGCTACAGATTGCCCTGCCAACTCAGACTCCGCGGACGCTGTCCCATGTTTCACGTGTACACTTGAGGTTCATGTTGACTTTCTGCATTCTTGTCTAATGGACTGGCGGTCGATGTCAGTTGTAGTGGTCTGGCTACTCAATACGTTACTTTACCGGGAGTGTGTAGCAAACAAATAAAAATAGTAACGATAGATTGAGTATATAATAATAGAGAGGTCAGATGGGACAGACTCGCTAATAATTGTTCGTCGTTGGCCCAGGTCAGCGAATAAGCAACAACCCAATCGTCGTTGTCCAGGGGTCTTCTGAAATGTTCCCACATATAGTAGATTCTGAAGAAAATATGAAGTGTTTTGGGAATAGAGTTATCACATGAGACTCGCGAATGGCCACTGTAAGCGAGATCGAAATCAGAAGTGAGAGTCGGAACACGTAACCACGTTTGTGTTGCGCGAAACTGTACAAGTTCGCTTTTTTGTAGTTTTTCGTCTTCAAACAAAAAACGGTTATGCAATTGACAAAATACTCAACGTTATAATGGAAGAAAAATAAAGGTACAGAACACCACACAGTAAACACCATTTTACTAATCTTCGTCTTTCCATTATCGATTCTTCTCCAAATTTGTTTGAGCGTCCTGGCGATATCAACATCCTGCCGAGTCCCTGGAGTTGCCTAACATTTGTGGCGGCTGGGGCAACCAGCGATCTGACAGATGGATCAACCGGCAAAAATGAGAACCACTGAATCAATAAGATAAATGTTGCTCGGATGTAATTCAGTAATATCTGGCAAGCAGGGATGGTCAGTTTGACTTCTGCACTCGTAGTTTTCCTAAAAATGATTTTCCAGAAAGGCACAGATATCTGAGTCAGTATCCATCACGCATAAAGAGAAGATTAACTTACCCGTTTAGTGCTTGGCGGTTTTCAACCATTACTTTAAAAACGACATACCGATGCCTTTGCAGCGGCCGTCACGTCCCCTGAAAACCCTGACAGTGTTCTTTCAGTGTGCTTACATTGTTGTCTACCTCTGTTTCGTGATGACGGCACAAAAAACCCTGGTAAAATGAAATATGGCTTTCGTTTACGAAACTGTACTCCACAAGCCAGTGGCAAGTGAGTTTTAATCCATCAAGAGTTGCTCACTACCGCGACCAAAAAGTACATTTCGTAGGTTGTTTTTGACGGGCTCCTCAGATTTGATTTAGTGTTTGTCCGGTTTGTTTGGCAAGAAAGTTATGCATAAGACATATGAGGAAAACAGTTTTGTGGACCATCAACCATGTGCTTCGGCAGTTGATCCTAAAGCAATGGACAATTCATCGATGTGTTTGAGGAGATTTAACACACCTGCTGCATTGTCGCGATGAAATCTTCTGTGTTCTACTTGACCTGTGCTAGTTATATCGAAGAAAGTTTGAAATCCAGTTTGGGTGTTCCATGGCAGTGCGCCTCCTTTGAAGTTCACAAGCGATTTCCATGTGGGATAACATGTATCCTTGGAAGATATGTACCTTAACATCGTTATTTTTGCAGCACAAATCAGCCATTACTTAAACACCACACTTCGCATAACAGTTTCACAAGCCAGACTGCACCTTGAATTCTTCCAGCTGTGAGCCCTGTAGAATGCGCAAAAAGCTTTCGGTCATTTCCATACAGTGTACTTAATCTAAAACAACTCGCCCCACATGCCTGACTTTCGGAGGTTTGGGCGTATTATGTCACCTCACAATGGTCTATTCGAGCGCGCTAGGTAAGAACGACTAATTAAACACGGCACAGAACCTTGTAAACGGTGAATAAATGACTTGAGATACCTGCGCCTATTGGCACACTCCAAATTGACTCGAGGGTACAAAATTCGGTTTCCGTTTTTCGCGCATGGACGTACCACTGCAAGGTCGAACTGCTAACAATCATGTGTAACGTGAATGAAGTTCGCCCCAGTACGGACAGTTTAGCTTACTCGAACTTGAACTGAGCGTGTGTAAAAAATCACTTAGCAATACACACCCTAGCCAAGCACTCACAATCGGCAGGTTTCTACACATTCATAGGGATATAAAGTCAGAACAGATCGTCGGATGATGATTCACACGCGCGATAGTTAATGGAGTATACCCTAGATCGCCAGGGTAATCCAAATTGTTTCAGCTTCTTGAGATATGCCTACGTATCCTGTCAAGTTGAAGCAACCGAGCAAGAAGGTTAAAAGACGGATTTTGCATTTTGTCATAAATACACAGTCTTCCTGTAATGCACTGCTCATGAGGTTGCCGAAAACTCCTCGACAGCCCATGACCGGTTTTGTCCTCCTTGGGGCTCATCAGGTAGGCGCGAAAAACCAATTTAGCTCGCAAATGAGTGTAGTTCGCTAACTTCGTGCCATTTGGTTTCAAGTAGAACATACGTTTTGTGGAAACTCAGGGGCCGCGCCTACCTGATGAGCCCAAAGGAAGGTGAAACCGGTCGTGGGCTGTCGAGGAGTTTTCAGCAACCTTATGAGTAGTGCATTGCAAAAATATATATGTATCGTGATATCTCAAAAACCGTAGCGACTGAAACATGAGGCGGCTTGGTGGGAAACAAACATCAAAATCAAGAGATTCAGCTGGGTTCCAGGTGAGTCTCTCGAAGAAACAAATTAGTTTCCACGAGTGTATTTCTTCACACAGCCTTCCATTTCTAGTCAACCGCAACGCTCCAGCGACGCACCATCAGGCATGGTTTGATCTCTTGTCACGGATTTCGATACTCAGATAATACCATAATTCTGGAGCGATACACCAAGCACAATTTGAGCAACCTGCATTGGGTGTCAGAAGCACTTAAAGATACTGGTCTTTGGCACCAGCCGGTTTTTCAAGCTTAGTGCCTTCTAAGATTTATATCGTGTGAGCTGGGCACAAGCACACACGCCACTGATAATCAAAAGGCAAACGTAGTTTATGGGCTGTGGAGGAAGTTGGAAGTTTTCTGCGCGCCGTGCTTTATTTTCGACAATCAATTTCACCTTTTAGTTGCGTGCACGGGCATCGAAGTCGCTTGCACGGTGTTCCAACCTGTAATTTCACATACGTCGGCCTCCAATGGCGGCCCTTAGATACTTTCGTGACTCCCTACTGTTGGTGTTACTTTTCGACGAAAGTCCCTCGGCTTAACCGGCCTTGTCCGTTACCTCAATAAAACTCCAGATATTACCTTACAACAATCTGGAGAGTGACGGGATCAAATGGCAAAATACCGGTACAGATAATCGAAACTCATTACTAGTTGATACGTCAACGTATAGTGTGTCATGGAGAAACATGAACAGTCCTGTTCTGCTATACTCTGCCACCCACTGCACGAAGATGCCACTTTTCCATCAAAACCGTTTCATTACGTGACCAGTAGTGTGGCAATACCGTGAAACAGTGGCCTCACACTTGCTTTGCTCTACATCCTTGCTGTTCTTATTTACGCATACTGGGTCTGGGCCCTCCATGACTCTATCCAGTAGGCCTAAAGAATATGCTAGGGGATGCTGTGACGGAGATGCCGCCGACGATATTCAGTATGTTATGTTCCGGGGCTGTCTTCACGCAAACCTTAAAAGAACTTCTGTGGATCACTTTAACGCCAGAATACATCCAGATATGGAGTTATTCCGCATAATATGCATTGAAAGTACACAGTAGCAAGAACACTGAAATCCTACTGGCACCACACCACTTTTTTCTTCTGATTCCCGCCACAGGTAGGACTCCGCTAGTCAGCCACCAAAACACAGTTCTTTCAGCTGACGCTGTCTTTAACGACAATTCATCTTATACACAACAATCCATCTCAAACCCAGATCACTTCAGACATCATAAAATCCTGGCCCAAACTATCCTCCAAAAAATGAATGAGCATGTAAGCAAGACGGAGATTTATTCAGCGACCTGCTTTCTCTAACCTACCGAATTTCGACCACAAAACATATCTGTGCCTTATAGCACCGGAGGCGCCTACAGACGCTTTATCAGAATATATGGCTGGTGGACCTGCCTTAGCTTTGGCTGATGCCACGACAAGACTCCGCAAAGCTCGTTTTCGCGGACCTCCTTATTTCTTAGCTGGTGTTAAAAAGAACAACCAGACCTTTGCTGGCGATATTCCTTCCAACCGGTCCCACGCCACAATCACGTCACATTCCGGTTCATTCGAAAAAAGCCAATTAACCACCCACAAGCTGTTAATTTAGTGTACAGCCACGGGCCTGTGAACAGCTGGTCTGACTGTTACATCCACTGTTATTGACGAAACACAAGCCCTGGTCCTGTGACAGGCCCGCACACGTGACCGCAA